GTACACACACTTTTAGAACAGAAAAAACAGAAACCAAATATTATTTGCGCAATAGTGTCAAATGAAAATAAGCACTCACGATTAACCATACACATCAAGGGTTGCTTAAAAAGACCCATCCTGATAACATGCTCTTTTGTATGTCTTTGGTTGGCAATTTCCCTTTTGTTGAATGGATCAACAATCATAGAGATGTCTTAAGTTTTCAAATTAACACTTGTTTTTTTCTGGACTCTTTCTCTAACAACTAAGTTCTTTATTCCATGTGTTTAGAACCACTGGAGTACTTTTCCATACTTAGAGAAGAAAACTGTTTGCTGTATTGTCCAACAATATATCTTTCAGCAGCCTGCAATTGAGTCAACACACCAAGTCCTGAGATGAAATTCTGCAACCATAAGGATGATTTGTAGCCTCAAGCATATTGGAATGTCCTCATTTGATTTTCTTTTCAAGTCATCCTTGGACACTGTTTTCACTTAATTTATCACCCTTCATCATGGGTGCATCACCGGCTGAACAAAACTGCATTATTGAATAATTCTCCAAAACACGATCAAATATACCTTTCTTGTGATAGTCCTAGCAATCCTCGAGATCGATCCCTAAAAGATCTCTATGCCAAAACATAAGTTTATGCCTCACCCATATCGACCATTTTAAAGTTTTTTTTTTTTAGAGAGATATTTCCTTTGGTTTCATGTAATAAGCCAAGGTTCATTACTAGCTAACAAAATATCATCCACATCATAGCACCAAAATAATGAACTTGCTCCCACTAACCCTTCAGATATATACACTGATTCAACTGCATTTCCTTTAATCCGAAAGAGATAATGGTATCATTAAACCTTAAATACCATTGCTTGGAAGGCTTGTTTAAGGCCGTTATATGGATTTCTTTAATTTTGCAAGCTAATGTTTCTTTACCTTTCTCTTGCAAATCCTTCTGGCTGCTCACATATAAATTTCTTCATCCAAATTCCCATTAGAAAAACAGTTTTTCACATCCATTTTGATGTAACTCTAAGTCATAATGAGCTACCAATGATAGGATGATTTTTAAACGATCCTTTTTATATATGGAGAGAAGGTTCTGTATAGTCTATGCCTTTCTTTTTGAGTAAAACCTTGGCAACAAGTCTGCTTTAAATCGTTCGATATTGCCTTTTGCGTCACGAAATGGTCTTGAAGACCCATTTACACCCGACCTTTTTGCAGTTATTAAGGCAATTCGACAACATCCCAAACACTATTCTGCTTCATGGATTTTTAAACTTCTTTCATTTATAGCAATTGACCCATTAGAAGAATCATCACTATTCATGCTTGTGAAAATGAGACTGGATCTTGTTAATCCCAAATTTCAAAAATCAGATTCCTGTAGATACACCCATTAAATCATCTGGTAATTGGGCAGGGCTTTCTTTTCCCTTGAGATCTCTCAGAACTGCCGATTGTGGTGGTTCTAAAAATATTTTCATATGGTGGGTATCTTCTGAAGTGCGTGAAACATGAGGTGGTGAAGGATTTCATTCAGTTGTTCGTTTTCCTCACCTGTGGAATAGTCTGGAGAACAACAACTTTTCGATAAGGGTCAAATGTTGGCACATTTACCCTAATTTCCTCGAAATTCACCACTCGTGTTTTCTCACTCCCACTGATTTCACCATTCTCTAGGAAAATCTAGCGATTACCAGTCTCCACTATCCTCGTACTGTGGATTTAGGACAATAAATATTGTATCCTTTAGACTTGTCTGGATAACCAATGAAATATCCAGATATTGCTTTCTGAGTCCAACTTTTTCTTTTTCTTGTGGGTTAAAGATTCTTGCCTCTGCTGGACAACCCCAAATATGTAAGTGTCTCAAACTAGGTTTCCTACTTAGTCCACAACTCAAAAGGAGTTGTTGGGACCGCTCTTACTAGAACCCCTATTTTTTTTTTAAAAATAATTACCAATTTGCAAGGTTTTTTTTTTTAAAAAAAAAAAAAAAAGCTTTTTTCCAACCCCACATTGAAATAGGTACAATGAGTAACTTAACATACTTCTAACCATATCTTTAAGTGTACGATTACGGCCTTTCGCAACTCCATTCTGCTGTGGCGGTACCAGGCATTTGTATATTGAGCACAAATGCCTTTCTTTTTTCTAAGAATTTGGCAAAGGGCCAGGATTTTGGCCTGACTCATCATTATTTACCATAATATTCACCACCCCGGTCTGATCTCACTATTTTAACCTTTCTATCTAATTGGTCTCTCGACTTCAGTTATGTACACTCAAGGATGTCAACAGCCTGAGACTTTTCATTTGAATTAGATACACATATGCATAACGTGAGAAGTCCATC